TGGAGAGGTGTGCGATGAATGCCATAACCTGTGTAGTTGTTGTAGGCCATGATGTATTCAGTTGTCTATTCAATCGAAACTCTTGAAATGAGTCTACAGCACTCTGGTATGCCCGCTGTGATCCCTCTGCTAAGGACTGTCCTAGTAGTCTATGTGTTTCTGCTGCTAGGTCAGCACTATTCCCGTAGGTATACGACTTGGTCGGTCTCGTGCTCCTGGTGCTAGTTTGCGGAATCGCCCCATCTGAAATCGTGAAAGGGAGTCGGCAACACCATTGTCAAGTGTATGTACGTAAACTGCTTTATAGACAATGTTTTTCTTTAAGCAGATCAACACAAATTTACGTAATAACTCCATTATTTTCGGACATGATGATGTCTGCTTGTTTATTGCAAACTTCACTGACATGTTGTCTGTGTACAGGACTATTCTCCTATTCTGGAGTTCCTCCCCCCATGCAGCGATGGAGAGTAGTATGGGTATCATTTCTTTCCATGGTATTGACGTACCCTCGATAATTTCGCGCGACGACCACTTGTTATTAAACCACTTGCCTTCAAAATAGGCTCCGAAACCAATTTCCCCGCTAGCATCAGTGTACAGAACGTGGTCGTTATCTCCTCCCCACCCTTCCTGGGGGATGACTGATATGCCATTATAGTGGTTCAGGAATTCGAGCCATATGGTTAGGTCAGCTTGGGTCCCCTCATTCAACATTATACTGGTACTTTTCACATTTTTCCCTTTTGTTAAGTCTATTAACCGTCGTAGGAATGCTCTGCCCGGTCGTACAGCTCTGCAAATGAAATTCAAGGAGCCAATCAAAGATTGAATCTCTTTGACGGTGGCTGATTTATGAGCTAGCGCCCTACCGATTTTCCGTCTTATTTCCACCAGTTTTTCTTGTGGTACACGTACTTGCATTAGTACTGAGTCAAGCTCTAAGCCAAGAAATGTCAATCTAGTAGTAGGCCCTTCTGATTTTTCTTTGGCTAGGGGAACGCCTAGTTCTTTGCACACTAATATTAATGTATCAACAACTTGTTTACATGTTAATTCTTCATTTTGTATTGAACCCACACATAAGAAGTCATCCACATAGTGCACTATTTTGTTGGAGCCAATTCTTTCCCTAACGCAATGTTCAATAAACGTAGAAAAAGATTCGAAATATGCTGGGGCACATCTGATACCCATGGGTAAGCATTTGTCAATATAATATTTGCCGTCAAACTTGACCCCGAGCAGTTCAAAATCATTTGGATGAATCGGTAGTAACCTGAATGCCGATTTGATGTCCTCTTTTGCTAGCTCGGCACCTATGCCTGCTTCAACAATTAATTCTGTTGCTTTATCAAAACTCGTGTATTCAACCTTGCAAACTTTATCCGGAATAAAATCGTTTATTGAATACCCGGGTGGGTATGACAAGTGGTTAATTAAACGATATTCGCCCGGCACCTTTTTGGGCACCAGTCCAATGGGACTCGACCGTAATTTGTTTAGTGGCCTAACTTCAAATGGGCCTAGGTATCTACCCAGTCTTACCTCTTTTTGAATTTTTTCAAGTGCTACTGGTTTGTTGTTTTCCACTGATTTTAAATTGGGCATATCAGCCGGCATGCGGGGGCCTGTGTAATTCAATTTGAAGCCTTCAGTAAAGCCTTTTTTCAAAAATTCTGCGGCCTCCCTGTTAGGATACGTCTTTAACATAACTTTTAAGTTCTCGGTTATAATTGGTGTTTGTGCTAGAGACATTAAGTCACTCATCTGTTGCGTTATGTTATTATCTTCTTTCACATTGCCATGTATATCTTTATTATTCTTCTGTGTTTGTTCCCCATTTCTGGAGGTGCAGTTATTTGTTGTTGGGTTTGATGGCTTTGAGGTTTGACCGTTGGACTCCAGTGCAGTGGATTTTCCCATGCCCTTTGTTACCACAAAGGGTACATGCGTGTGTAAAGCGGCATGCCTGTCTAGAGCATTGCCCTGACCGGTAATTGAATTCATAGCATTCTCCGCCACGAAAGTTTTGTGCCCGAGATGGCGCCCTTCCCTTATTCATATTGGGTGTGAACTTTATTGTGCTCGACCCCCGGGGTGTGGCCCATTCCCGCTTGGTTGCCCACGATCCCTGTTGGGTTTGGGGGCGGTCTTGTATCCGCATGTTTCGCGGAGATCCCCCACCTATTACGTGAAGGAGCCACAATTCCCCATCTATTGATGACCACAACCCGCCTTTTCTGTGCATGCGATGTCGAAATTCGACATCGTAGTCTCTCCAACCATACCCATAGTACCGAGAGGCAGCAGATCGGATTAGTTGCCCATATTTCAGAAGCTCATGTGAGCGAGTTGGATTGGCTTCTAGATAAATACTGGTATATACAAGAAATGCATCGGTCCACCGTTCAATGGACACGATTTTATTTTTGTTAGAGGTAGCGGGTTTCAGCACTAACCTTCCCCCTTCGTGAGATATTGCTAGGTTAGGGGCTTGTTCGTCTACTGCCTCTGGCATTGATTGTGTTGCTATGTTTTGTGTCTCAAGAAGTGTGTTTAAATCTACATATTGCCCTCTCCATATTTTTTCCTTCATGTTGGGGTGTACTTTAGTCCCCAGTCTATCAGTGACCGGAAACAAGGGCGACTGATCTGTGTTATATGTGTGTGCACCACTGTGCTCCCCCCTTGTATCCCAGGCAGTAGCGCCTGACTGAGTCGGTTGCCCGACACTGCTTGCCCGTGTGGGAGGATGGGCTTCATTATCCCTCAAATTATGACTAGCTCTAGGCCTAGTGTCACTCTCGTTGTGTGTAGTTTGTAATTGAAAGCCAGCGTGTAGGCTACCGGTGTTTGGTACAATCGAGGGGAAGGAAACCACCAAGTTGCTTTCCCTCTCGCTTTCAAGATTGTTAGATCTATGTCGTGTTGTTTCACTAAATTGTGATATTTCTGGTAGATGTGATTGCATAGCTACGTCTACCTCACCTTGCATTGGCTGTGCATGTGAAGGCGGCTGGCTTGATGACTGGTTCGCTCCAGTTGTCTCGTTTCCACTGTATTGTGGTCCGTCAGTCTCCGGAGCCGGGTTTATGCTGGTAGTGGCTGAGCGTCCACTGCTGGGGTTACCGCTCGAGTGTCTCGCCCGTTTTGGCCGCCCCGCCCGCCGGGGAGTTGAGGTGCCGAGTACGTCTTGAGTGGTGTCGTTGCTAGACTGCCTTAATCTTGTAGACTGTCTAGGCCTAGCAATCTTTGGTTGGCGGGCGTTGGCGGGCCACCCGGCTCTGGCTTGATTTCCGCTTTCCCATCTTTCGATATACTGGGATTTCCTCTCGTTATTTAGACTTATCTGTATACTCAATAATTGAGTATACATTATTGTAGAGCCTTCTCGAAAAAGGACTTCTCCGAGCGGAGATAAAGTCGAAAGTGAGAAAATCTTGCACACGGCGTTCCCACGCTTACTGCGCGCATAACTCCACCGTTGTAGATTCACTGGCTGTGCGCATTTTCGGTTTCTTTACAGAGGTAAATTTCACATGTCGCTGTCTCACAAAGGCACCGCTTAAACAGCTGTAAAAGGCGCGCGCTATTTCTGGCCTATGCCAGCAATTGTTTTGTCTATCCTTGACTCTCCCAGAATGACTCTGATCATTTATTATGATCACGTTATTCTTGTAATGGCCAAAATTTAACTGATTAAATCTTTGCGCAGCATAAAACGTACGACCATTCGGTACAATGGTCTGAAAATCAAGACTATTACTTACTGGCTCTATAGCTCCTAAGTCGATTCGACAACTAATAGTCGTTATTTTCCCACTTAAAGACATTTTCAAGCCCCCCTTTTTCAAGGAAGATCTAAATTAGTATTATCTTATCTTTCAAATGCCGTTGGAATTTAATCTTTTAATTTTTTTGGCCTGCAAAAGGAACATAGTATACAAATAGTGAATGGTCATGAGGGCAATGGTACAAGATTTTGCACGAGGTGAAAGATAAGAGACGCTATATTCAACGAGGCGCAGCCGAGTTGAATGGAGCGTCTCATCTTTCACCGAATGCAAAATATTGTTCCATTGCACGAATAAAGACCATTCACTATTTGTTTTATACAACACCTCGGACGTGAACGGGCTTAAAACAGTTTTCCTAGGCATAAATCTCAGCGGTTTTTGTTTGTTTTCAATTTATGAAAATGCTGATAGTGAGCGCGCACTATTAAGCAGGCAGCAAACCATGCGCGTACCATGTGCCGCGCGTACAAACCTTTACGTTTATTGTTACGCGGAGTGCAATTTCGTTTGATCCTTTCGCACCATTGCACTCTGACGTCACTTAGCTCACCATATACTTTGTACATCGTTAGTGACGTCAGAGTGCAATGGTGCGAAAGGATCAAACGAAATTGCACTCCGCGTCAATGATGCCGTTCAATGGTACTTTTAGCGCATGTCATGTGATCAAGAATTGACCAATGAGGTTGCAAGAATCTTAGTAGGCGTTGTATAATACCTTATATCCAGGGGGGGGGGTAGGGGAATAATTCAAACGACCCTCTTTGGGGGTCATATTATCCTCTTTGGATCACATTCTTTATAAATGATCTTGCAGCCCTCAACTCTTTTTCAAATGATCAAGCCAGCCTACCCAGAGTTGTCTTTTTACACATCTGCAGAAAACAGGGTTTGTTTGCATAATTGTAGCCATCGATCATTGCTGCCAAGCTGCCCTCAATGTTTTGTTTTGTCCTCCCACCATTTTTAGCCGTTTAATCATGTCACTAGGTAATTAGTTAGGTACACACTTGGCTCCAACAGGGAAAGTGTTGCTTTTTATAAAACATGGATTGAAACTTAAAAGAATGATGCCGACCGATTTTTTAATGACATGTATTTATAAAAATGTCTATATATAGATATAAAATTGGGGGTCACAGTGTCCTGTTTGGATCACATGCTTTATAAATGCTCTTTATCCTAACTCAACTCTTTCAGATCAGCGAGCTACTCGACCAAGAGTTGGATTTACAAAGACGTAGGAGCTTGTTGGAGGTTTGTATGCATAACTTATAGCCATTGAACACTGGTGCCAAGTCCATGTATTCTGTTATGCTAAAGAAGGTTTAATATTTTGTAACTTCCCATGTCCGTACTAATACCCTTTTCTAACTGCACTCTATCGGAGTCACACCGATGAAAATACAGATTGAATTTTCCTTATGTAAACAAAGGTGAAACCGCAGTTTTTCCCTTGTCGGTTTCTAACTGCCGGTGAAATTCACTCGCTGTGGCAAGCCCTTGCCGGAAGTGAAGAATTATTCAAAATTATTAAGCCCGCGCTCCATCTAGCTAGCATGCAGCATGTTCAACCATAAGTCAACAAACACAGCTGGTTACGATAAAGCGCGCGTATACTGCGACCTTTGACCATTTTAATCGCTGTTTCAATCGCCTTTTTCTCCCGAACGTTTTCTAACTGCACGTTTCATCGGTGTCACACCGATGGAATGAGAATTTCTCCTGCTCTTGAGCAGGAGAATTTAATCGCCTATTTCTCTTCTTTTCATCGGCTATTTAATCGCCTTTTTCTCCTCTGTTGCTTTCTAACTGCCACTTTCATCGGATGCGTCCGGATGCATCCGATGAAAATCGGTGCAGTTAGAAAAGGGTATTAGGCATATTAACGTTTAAAACACGTCCAAAGAAGACTAATATTTGATTTGAATTTATATTCAATGCTTTGTACTATCTTTCCACATTGTTTAGTCCTCATGTAACAGTATAGGGTATTGCCAACATTGGATGGAAGCATGTTGTGTATACTTTATTCAATATGTGTACCAATTTTCATCTTCATATTGCTTACCATAACCGAGATCTCTGTGTCAATCAGCATGTTTCCATTAGTTATACTGAATTTATCTGGTTGAAGAAAATAGTCTACAATTGGCAGGGAAGGGCAGTTTCTATCTACGCGCATTATCCTGAAAAATACACTGCTCCGATTACACGGCCGTGAATAAAAGTTCATCAAACTTTGGCTAAGGTCACTGCAAAGTATTGAGGGACTGCTAGGTCAACCTGGGATTGTAGTGTCGCGCACATCGATGTAAAATATTCCGATCACGTGATCACTCTGCTTTCCGGTTTCTATCTGCTATGTGCTCTCAACCGGAATGAGGTGAGTTTCTACTTACGTTATCCGGTTAGTTTCCCCTGCAATATCCTTCTTGCCCGTGAACGCGACACAGCTCTCACGGCCATTATCCGGATAATGGCGGAGCAAGTCAGTTTCTATATGGCAAAATTCATCCCTTATCGGCCATTAACCGGATAATGGCTTTTAATAGAAACGCGCTGAATGTCAATGCCCCCCCCCCTCTACCTTCCAGCGCTTTCAGATTTCAGTTTTATATTTCCTACTGTTATGTCAGTGTACGCTATGTTACTTGATAATACTCGAAGCTCTTTAGTATTTTGTAGAGTTTGTTACAATACTCTCATGTGCTTTATTCAATAGATCTTGTATAATAGGTAGATCAGGGCCCGTTTCATGGTGTTTTACAACTTACAACTGTGCAGTAGATATGCCTTTGCTCTACAAAGCGTATCGGCGATGATGTTGTCCATTTCTTTAATATGAGTCACTCTTAGTCCATAAGGCTGGAGGAACAAGCTCCAACAAAACAGTCTCTGATTCTTGTTCCTGTATCGAAATGAAAAATAAGGCTACCAAGCTTATAAATTACATTTTGTGAATGTATAAACTCACATTTTGATATAACTAAGTCTATGCTTTAATATATTTTCAGTCGATGGAGGAAAAGGGAGGAAAGAGGTCTGATGATACAACTGCAAAATGGGTTTGTGTGCTTGAGATTTTCAATTCCATTTCTTACTTTGGGACCAAGTTTATACCCAACATGACCTTTTACTATGTGAACAGGCAAGGTATATCATTGCCGTAAGTATGTTAAAAGAAATGCCTATCACCTTCAATTAATTAGGTGATACGTACGAAGTCTACGTATCACCTATTGATTTCGTCAAGATTTTATTTTTTATTTTTATTTTTATTATTCTTCCTCGAATTTGTTCGCAGAATATCTCAAGACTGAATAAAGACATTATCATAAAACTTGACACGATGATAGATCTTAGTCTAACTTAGAACTGCGTGACTTTTTAGAGAGTCAAATTGATGGTGACGTCATCCAGGCGCCATTTTGTGAAAATCAACTTATGATCATATCTTCATAACGGAAAGGTATTTTTCATTCATAATTATCATGATTAAGATCAATATCCGTCCGGTCAAGTTGAGGTCAATAAAAGTGCGCAAATGCGCGCGTGCGCGTTCGTCCGCGCGTTTACGCGCGCGCAAAAATTTAAAATGCTCTAAATCATCCCAATTTTTTTTTGCATACGTTTCAGGCGATATGAAGCATTTGACAAAAAATCGCGCGCGCGTTTTTTGGGCGTACTTGCATTTTGCAACATAGAATCGCCGAATTTTTTCTGTCATCATATTTGGTACATTTTTCCAAGCATTTTGATAACTTGTTCACCTTTTAATAACGCAATGAGCGTCCGTCAAAGTTGACAGCACGCGCGGATCTGCATTATCTTTATCCACAATACATGGGCAAAAAGATGCCTATACAAAATTCATTGTAACTCTTCAGAATAGATAGGAACTCCCAATATTTTTTCATATTTGGATAGATTATGAGTTGGAAATATGATTTTATGTCTCATTTGACCCTCAATTAACTCATGACGTAATCATAATGGCCTCCAAACTCAAAATTTCAATTTGCATATTAAGACGTCAGCATATTTTTGGAAAATTGATTGTATCTCTGTAGATATTAATCGTTTTTCTTCCAAATTTTGATATGTTCTAGCGGAGAAAATTTCCTACAAATGCGGTAACCACAATTTTCATTTTGACAAAGACATCATGTCGTATATTTGCGATTAAAGGAGGCATGTCAATTTTTCACATTTTGCGTGTATTCTCTATGGGACATGACTTTTTCTCAAAACTGGATTCTACATTCCTGTCTTTTCGCGAGCAAAATCTCCATTGTTTTAGCTTTGTTTTCGCTGAGCTTCGAGTATGTTGTAGCTGAGACCATAAGCTATCACTAGTTTGCCTTTTATTTTTCAATCAGATGCCGGGATTATGCTCATATTTCACTTGCAAAGTAGGCTTTGAGCATTCCATTTCCCGTTTACGTGTAATCGCTATGGGAAATGTTTTGGTATATCGGTAACGCACTTGACTTCCAACCTCGAGATCCCTGGTTCGAGTCCGGGTGTCTCCAACAATTTTTTTCTTCACTTTTTTTTCTTTTTGACCTTTCACTGTACCATCTCTTTTGATTATTAAAACATGTAGATTCGCAAATAATGTATAAAACAACCCTATTTACTTTATTATTACCCTATTTTCACTTAATCCATTACTTTTTGCGTGTAATCCCTACGGGAGATGACTTTTTCTCAAATCTGGATTCTACATTCCTGTCTTTTGCGAGCAATATCGCCATTATTCCTGTCTGGATTTCGTTGACTTTTGAGTATGTTGTAGCTGAGACTATATGCTATCTAAATCATCCCTCATTTTTCCAATGAGATATCAGGATCACGCTCATGATCATGATCATTATCATCATCATTATCATCATGATCATCATTATCATAATGATGATAATCATTTATCAATTACATTTTCATTTCTTTGAATAAGATAAAATCATCAAAATATGTTCTTCATGATGTAAATTAGAGTCAAAGGTTTAACTGGTTACTGCATAGAGTCAATGATCATATATTGTCTCAATCTATCTTCCCTAGATCCATAATGATCAAGGGATCGACACAATTTAAACTTGACATATGGATAGATCATAATGGGAGAAGCATTTTATAAAATAATATGATATCGTGTAATGTATTCTTCGTTATGTAAACCAATATCATACGTATCACCTAATTCGTCTAAGTGACAAATTCAAGTCTAGTTAGCTTTTAAAGTTACACAATAAAAAGGCAACAAGCTTGTGTAATCTGCCTTGTCATAGAAAACAGTCTTCCTTATTGAAAGCAATGATCTCTTTTGGTACTCAGATACCAGACGCAATGCTTTGATATATGATTATATTGGAGTTACTCATTTTTCTAAAAAAAATTCTTCTGCTGGTTTATATATTCCAAACTACAAATTTCCCATACCTTTAAAGATACTATGTCCCTTTTGCAACCAACCTCAAAATCTGTAGAACTTTGCAGGAATTATGAATATGTCAAGTATGTCCTATCTGTGAACTTTAAAATTTAGCAGTGTCCTAATATTCAAATTATGCAAGGAAACCTGTTTACTTGCTAGACTTCACTGTCAGACACTATTGAGTGACTGACTAGCTTTTTTTCTTCTTTGGTAAAAAACATACATATAATGAGCTATAAAGGGTACATGAGCATTTGTCTACATCAATGACCCACTTCTTGTAATGGCCAAAATTTAACTGATTAAATCTTTGCGCAGCTTAAAAAGTACAACCATTCGGTACAATGGTCTGAAAATCAAGACTATTACTTACTGGCTCTATAGCTCCTAAGTCGATTCGACAACTAATAGTCGTTATTTTCCCACTTGAAGACATTTTCAAGCCCCCTTTTTCAGGGAAGATCTAAATTAGTATTATCTTATCTTTCAAATGCTGTTGGAATTTAATCTTTTAATTTGTTTGGCCTGCAAAAGGAACATAGTATACAAATAGTGAATGGTCATGAGTGCAATGGTACAAGATTTTGCACGAGGTGAAAGATAAGAGACGCTATATTCTACGAGGCGCAGCCGAGTTGAATGGAGCGTCTCATCTTTCACCGAATGCAAAATATTGTTCCATTGCACGAATAAAGACCATTCACTATTTGTATTATACAACACCTCGGACGTGAACGTGCTTAAAACAGTTTTCCTAGGCATAAATCTCAGCGGTTTTTGTTTGTTTTCAATTTATGAAAATGCTGATAGTGAGCGCGCACTATTAAGCAGGCAGCAAACCATGCGCGTACCATGCGCCGCGCGTACAAAACTTTATGTTTATTGTTACGCGGAGTGCAATTTCGTTTGATCCTTTCGCACCATTGCACTCTGACGTCACTTAGCTCACCATATACTTTGTACATCGTTAGTGACGTCAGAGTGCAATGGTGCGAAAGGATCAAACGAAATTGCACTCCGCGTCAATGATGCCGTTCAATGGTACTTTTAGCGCATGTCATGTGATCAAGAATTGACCAATGAGGTTGCAAGAATCTTAGTAGGCGTTGTATAATACCTTATATCCAGGGGGGGGGGGTAGGGGAATAATTCAAACGACCCTCTTTGGGGGTCATATTATCCTCTTTGGATCACATGCTTTATAAATGATCTTGAATCCCTCCTCAACTCTTTTTCAAATGATCAAGCCAGCCTACCCAGAGTTGTCTTTTTACACATCTGCAGAAAACAGGGTTTGTTTGCATAATTGTAGCCATCGATCATTGCTGCCAAGCTGCCCTCAATGTTTTGTTCTGTCCTCCCACCATTTTTAGCCGTTTAATAATGTCACTGGGTAATTAGTTAGGTACATGTACACTTGGCTCCAACAGGGAAAGTGTTGCCTTTTATAAAACATGGATTGAAACTTAAAAGAATGATGCCGACCGATTTTTTAATGACATGTATTTATAAAAATGTCTATATAGATATAAAATTTGGGGTCACAGTGTCCTGTTTGGATCACATGCTTTATAAATGCTCTTTATCCTAACTCAACTCTTTCAGATCAGCGAGCTACTCGACCAAGAGTTGGATTTACAAAGACGTAGGAGCTTGTTGGAGGTTTGTATGCATACCCTATAGCCATTGAACACTGTTGCCAAGTCCATGTATTCTGTTATGCTAAAGAAGATTTAATATTTTGTAACTTCCCATATCCGTACTAAGGCATATTATAGTATTAATGACTGCCTTGAGAGAAATAGTTGTTTTTATACGCTCAAGGGAAGGTTAGAATTGTGCTATTGCCTGAGGCGTGCCGAGGGCAATAGCCCAATTGTAACCTTCCCGAGAGCGTATAAAAACAACTATTTCTCGAATATTAAAGCAGTCATTAATACTTTTATATGCCGAAAACAAAAGAGTCAACTAATGACACCACCTTGGCCTTTCTCTAGTTTATCTGCACGGTTGTTTTTTATGAGTGTATCTTTGAGATTATAGACTAGATCTAGATTCTAGTCTAAGCAAGATATTTTTACAATTTTGGGGGTGGGCCGGCCCTGTGGGAAATATGGAGAAGAACCTGCGCTTTCATATGACACCTCACTTATTGAGTATCACCTTCAGGATCACAACAGATAAAGGTTTGAATCTCGAATTGAAAAAAAAAAATAGACTTTTTTTGCATGGTCGCGCAATGCACGTAGACTGCATAGAGACTGCATTGCGTGCAATCTCTATGGGAAGAATTTCAGCACACAACATCGGGTGCGCGATCAGACTAGATCTATTTTCGTCTACGTCTATGCTGGTACTCCATTTTCAGCAACTAAACGAACGTGTTTATGGATAATTTCACGTACCCTTTTTGTTGTTCTTGCTGTCAGCGAGTCTTGCATTTGATAAGTTGAAATCTTGGGAGAGTTTCTTTAGCCATTTTTGTCTTGTTTGGAATTGTCTTGTCTTGTATGAAAATACCGACCAATTCTTCGCACACGTACGGTATCCTCGATCGCTCAAACCATTTTTTAACATGTAAACCTATGGGTAAAAATGGTTACTGGGATTTTAGAACTATTTTTTAAAACTATTACATGGGTTTGGAATTTTACCGGGAATTTTACAGGAATAGTTTAAGTTTATGAATGCAATTTCGACCAATCAGATGGCTGGATTTCTTAAGTGAGGTATATAATAACGTTTAAAACACGTCCAAAGAAGACTAATATTTGATTTGAATTTATATTCAATGCTTTGTACTATCTTTCCACATTGTTTAGTCCTCATGTAACAGTATAGGGTATTGCCAACATTGGATGGAAGCATGTTGTGTATACTTTATTCAATATGTGTACCAATTTTCATCTTCATATTGCTTACCATAACCGAGATCTCTGTGTCAATCAGCGTGTTTCCATTAGTTATACTGAATTTATCTGGTTAAAGGAAATAGTCTACAATTGGCAGGGAAGGGCAGTTTCTATCTACGCGCATTTTCCTGAAAAATACACTGCTCCGATTACACGGCAGTGAATAAAAGTTCATCAAACTTTGGCTAAGGTCACTGCAAAGTATTGAGGGACTGCTAGGTCAACCTGGGATTGTAGTGTCGCGCACATCGATGTAAAATATTCCGATCACGTGATCACTCTGCTTTCTGGTTTCTCTGTGCTATGTGCACTCTACCGGAACGAGGTGAGTTTCTACTTACGTAATCTGGTTAGCTTCCCCTGCAATATCCTTCTTGCCCGTGAACGCGACACCGCTCTCACGGCCATTATCCGGATAATACCGGAGCAACTCAGTTTCTATATGGCAAAATTCATCCCTTATCGGCCATTAACCGGATAATGGCTTTTAATAGAAACGCGCTGAATGTCAATGCCCCCCCCCCCCTCTACCTTGCAGCGCTTTCAGATTTCAGTTTTATATTTCCTACTGTTATGTCAGTGTACACTATGTCACTTGATAATACTCGAAGCTCTTTAGTATTTTGTAGAGTTTGTTACAATACTCTCATGTGCTTTATTCAATAAATCTTGTATTATAGGTAGATCAGGGCCTGTTTCATGGTGTTTTACAACTTACAACTGTGCAGTAGATATGCCTATGCTCTACAAAGCGTATCGGCGATGATGTTGTCCATTCCTTTAATATGAGTCACTCTTAGTCCATAAGGCTGGAGGAACAAGCTCCAACAAAACAGTCTCTGATTCTTGTTCCTGTATCGAAATGAAAAATAAGGCTACCAAGCTTATAAATTACATTTTGTGAATGTATCAACTCACATTTTGATATAACTAAGTCTATGCTTTAATATATTTTCAGTCGATGGAGGAAAAGGGAGGAAAGAGGTCTGATGATACAGCTGCAAAATGGGTTTGTGTGCTTGAGATTTTCAATTCCATTTCTTACTTTGGGACCAAGTTTATACCCAACATGACCTTTTACTATGTGAACAGGCAAGGTATTTCATTGCCGTAAGTATGTTAAAAGAAATGCCTATCACCTTCAATTAATTAGCTTTTAAAGTTACACAATAAAAAGGCAACAAGCTTGTGTAATCCGCCTTGTCATAGAAAACAGTCTTCCTTATTGAAAGCAATGATCTCTTTTGGTACTCAGATACCAGACGCAATGCTTTGATATATGATTATATTGGAGTTACTCATTTTTCTAAATATTTGTTCTTCTGCTGGTTTATATATTCCAAAATACAAATTTCCCATACCTTTAAATATACTATGTCCCTTTTGCAACCAACCTCAAAATCTGTAGAACTTTGCAGGAATTATGAATATGTCATGTATGTCCTATCTGTGAACTTTAAACTTTAGCAGTGTCCTAATATTCAAATTATGCAAGGAAACCTGTTTACTTGCTAGACTTCACTGTCAGACACTATTGAGTGACTGACTAGCTTTTTTCTTCTTTGGTAAAAAACATACATATAATGAGCTATAAAGGGTACATGAGCATTTGTCTACATCAATAACCCACTTCTTGTAATGGCCAAAATTTAACTGATTAAATCTTTGCGCAGCATAAAACGTACGACCATTCGGTACAATGGTCTGAAAATCAAGACTATTACTTACTGGCTCTATAGCTCCTAAGTCGATTCGACAACTAATAGTCGTTATTTTCCCACTTGAAGACATTTTCAAGCCCCCCTTTTTCAAGGAAGATCTAAATTAGTATTATCTTATCTTTCAAATGCCGTTGGAATTTAATCTTTTAATTTGTTTGGCCTGCAAAAGGAACATAGTATACAAATAGTGAATGGTCATGAGTGCAATGGTACAAGATTTTGCACGAGGTGAAAGATAAGAGACGCTATATTCTACGAGGCGCAGCCGAGTTGAATGGAGCGTCTCATCTTTCACCGAATGCAAAATATTGTTCCATTGCACGAATAAAGACCATTCACTATTTGTATTATACAACACCTCGGACGTGAACGTGCTTAAAACAGTTTTCCTAGGCATAAATCTCAGCGGTTTTTGTTTGTTTTCAATTTATGAAAATGCTGATAGTGAGCGCGCACTATTAAGCAAGCAGCAAATCATGCGCGTACAAACCTTTTGGTGGTATTCTCAAAAGCGGCCTAAGTTAAATCAGTGGCCTAAACCTGGTTTAAACCATGGACTATCTTTTTTGCTATTCTCGAAGGTGGCCTAAAGATAAGCCAGGTTTAAATACGTCATAGTTCGGCCTAACTTCGCGTGACGTCACTTCTTAAGTTAATCGACTGTCTGCGGAGAGTGAACGGTAAGTTTTGCATTGAATTTCTATATTTGATAACAATTTACACTCTTTTGTATCGGATAAGCGCTCATGAAAGTTACACCAGCTAATAAAGTATTTTTGTTACTTTCATGTTGCTGTACTGGTGATAATCTAAAATGCTTTTAACTGAATAAATTTAGAGGAAACTTGGTAAATGTTCACAGTGTTCGCAGACCAGTCCCATACGTGCAAATAATTGTCGGTTAACATTTTCGTTTCCTGAGATTGAGCAATTTCTTACCAGGTAATTCTTTTTCTTGGCACTATTGTCCTTTCGTACGTATATACCACCTTAACACCACCCTAAAACTATAATTGCTAGACGTAGAAACTACTTTTATAGTGGATTTTCGAGACGCTGTTGCCTAAAAGTGGACTAGCACTAGGCCTAAATCTAGATCTAGCTGTCTCTTTTGTTCGTTACCCTCTGATTTGGGTAGAGGAGCCGACCCTACCCAAATCAGAGGCTAACGAACAAAAGAGAGAGAAATTTTGGTCTGGTATCACCTCTGCCTGAGCTGCAGTGCTAGTTGTGGCTGTTGGTGCGATAATTTTCTACAGGATGATGATGATTTTTATAACCACCCATCCCCCCCCCCCAAGAAAAACTTTAAAAAAATATATATATTACTAGACCTAGATTCTAGATCTAAATTTCATCAATAAGAGTCTAGTCTAGACAGGTCTAATACCAATTGAAAGGAAATGGACAGAAGCTTCCTTTTTTGACAAACAGTTGCTGATGTTACAGTAGCTAGTAGTTTAGGCCTATAATACTTGTTAGTAAACTACAGAGAAAGAGAAATTGTAATTTCTTATCAAATATCAACATATTTTTCATCTTGATTTTCTGCTATTTCAGGTTCTTTTCAATTGATGCATGGGGATGAAAAAAGAAGGCCTCTCCCAAGCTATGGTGTCCCGCCTTGTGAAGTCCATCTCAATAGCCATTGCCAGGAGATGGGAGCAACACATCACAATTCCTTCAACAAGAGAGGCAGTCCTGCAGAGTGCAGACCCAACATGAATGTTATAATTACTGCCATTTCCCTGGCGTTAATATGGTCGGTGCTATTGATTGCACCCACGTAGGCATCTCCAAGCCAGTTGGCCCAACACCAGTTATTTCCTGAACAGGAAAAATAGATACTACATTTTTCTTGGAAAGTCTGCTGGTGAGTAAAGCTGTAATTACGCCTAAATTGTGTAAACTAAATCATGTTTATACAATTAAAAAAAAAAGATCTGCTGAATTTATGAATCTGCAGATGTGTCTACAGGTACATTATGAAGTGATTTAAAATTGTTTTGTCTGATGAATGTAGGTGCAATCTACACTCAAACTTTTATTCATTTGACATGGGCACGAGCTAATATTTTCAGCTCGATTGCCATTGCTACCAGTCACTCCTGACAGTGACAGCTTGGCCGAGACTTTTGGGCGAACTATCTGAAAATAAGACACAAATAATCAACAGTTGATTAACTACTTTCAAATTTGGGTCAGAAGAAAATTCAAACCTACCACTAACAATTCTGGACCATATAAGACTTAGAGACCTACAGACTGCAGTACAGTACAGTGCAGTAAATTTTCATTTTACTTTTTCCCCTTTCACGAAGCTCATTTTGGGAGATAACATAACAAAGACAATCATTGGTCTAATGTTAGATTGAACTAAAACGGAAAAGTTGGGCTCTAACGATTAGGGCCTTGTAAAATCTTTATTCCAGGCTGCGTTTACATCTAGGTTAGGCCAACTGTCGGCTGGTTATGTAAGTAAGATGTAGACCTCTAGACTTAATATTAGGAAAGGGACTAACTTGGCTATAGACTTTAACTACTTAGGGATTTCTTAGGCCATGACATGGCAAGTAAAACTTGGTGCAAGCACATTTATGAGATAGTACTGCAAGAATGTGTATGTTTGTTCTTGACTTTAAAAGAGATACCGGTAGTCATTCTGTAAATCAATGATTACTAGTAACTGAGTGGGGAGGGGGTGCCTAGTCACTGCCTACATGAAAGGCGCCTTAAGTTTTTTTTTAAGTTAGAATATGATTGACACTATAACTAAGAACAATTATCAATGGAGTAGATCTTTGATATTTTAATGAGGTCTAAACCTTTTTATTTTTGTTTCAGGATGATGTTTTTCTTCAGTAAAATAAATGAAGGCAAATTCCCTGATAACTGAGACAAATTCAGAGAGAGGAAGGAGAACTACTGAGCTGCTGAATTTCTGACAGGTAGGCTGTAAGAATAAGTTGTTGTTTGTATTCCCAGGTACTTCAAGGATGGCATTTGTTCATTCACATTTGTCCATCAATACTTTCATTTAATTGATTATGCACTCCACTTTTACCACAATGTACATGCAAGACCTTTTTAAGGTTTAACAGAAATAGGTTTCAATGTGTTTCCTTTCATTATTTTCTCTTTTCATTCAACAGACATACTTGCAAGGACTATGAAGTTCTACTTAGCCTCTTCAATGAACCAGACTCCATCTGCTGTAACTGTGACTGCATGGGGATCAAAACCTTTGTATTATAATCCTCATAACATGAAGCTATGGTAACAAACAAGCAACCATTGATAAAAAGCCTGATATGTCCTTGTTGTTTGTGTGAACCACAAAGCAACCATCACTCATAAGGATATTTTTATGTACATCAGATGTGATCATTGTTTCACTGGAAAAATTGTGATTTTGATTCATTTAAGAAATCTTGTTTTATAATGTGTTTTATAATATAGTACAAGTCATGATATAACAGATTCCCTGCAAAAGAAACACGGCTCAAAAGTAGACTATGCTTTGTTTTAAAAAAATGGGAGAAGGTAATGTAACAAATACATAACATTTAATTCTAATAGTTTCAAGTAGCAGATTATGAGGCTATTGGAGCTTAATATTTGATTTTGACCTTTGACCGTATTCATCATGAATTACAATCTTTTCTGTTTTAAGAAAAATAAATAAATTGAACATAATTGTTGATATGTTATATACAATATTCCTTTCATATCTTTTGATTTTAAGTGTGCATATTGTTGGGTTCATTGAATTATACATGGAAAAAGTCTTGAAATAGAACAGTGGGAGAACAGAGAGCGAACGAGAGAGAGAGAGAGAGATAGAGTAAAAGAGAAAGGGAACCAAATGAGAAAGAACAATTTAATGGTGAGAGAAATAAACAATGATGTGAGATAGTGTGTGTGTGTGACAGAGAGAGAGATGGAGATAGGGAGAAAGAGTTGGGGGGGGGGGGGTGACAGTGCCCCTTTTTTCAAATGCCCCTTTTTATATAGGAAAGTTCCCTTTTAACTTTGTAAGAAGTGCCCCTTTTTCCATAGGAAAAGTGCCCCTTCCCCTTTTCACCTCTGATAAGTGCCCCTTTAATTTTGACACGCGCCCCTTTTCCTTTGACAAGTTTTCATTTTCCTTTGCAATAAGTGCCCCTTTTCACTTTTGAGAAGTGCCCCTTCACCTCTGATTATTGCCCTATTTAAATCTGAGAGGTGCCCCTATTAACAAAATTATCGGTGCCCCTTTTATTTCAACAAATGCACATTTCCTTTATTATAAGTGCCTCTTTTTCATTCTCATAAGTGCCCCTTTTGAAATATGTTCAATGCCCCTTTTTCAGTTGCGATATGTGACCCTTTTCATCTCTTATAATTTCCCTTTTAACAATGATACAATTCCAGCAAGTGCCCTTTTTGTTGGTGCTGCCCCCCGCTTTGGAAGTTGCGCCGCCGTCCCTGGACGTCATATTGCTCAAGTTGTCGAGGTGATGCATCCTCTCCACACTCAGCGCGCATCCATTGTCTTAGCCCATTGTCTTAGTGCATTGTGACGTCATATTGCTCAAGTTGTCGAGGTGATGCATCCTCTCAACACTGCGCGCATCCATTCTCTTAGTGCATTGTGACGTCGCAGCTTCGGTACTGAGCATGTGCAGAAACTGTAACCATGGTGAATGATCCATGGACTAAGTTAGGCCAGGTTTAAACCATGGATCAGTTAGGCCACCTTTCGAGAAATGAAAATGACTTAGGTCAGCGGCCTAAGTTAAGCCTGGCCTAACTAAACCACGGACTAAGTTAGGCCAGGTTTAACTTAGGCTGCTTTCGAGAATACCAACCTTTATGTTTATTGTTACGCGGAGTGCAATTTCGTTTGATCCTTTCGCACCATTGCACTCTGACGTCACTTAGCTCACCATATACTTTGTACATCGTTAGTGACGTCAGAGTGCAATGGTGCGAAAGGATCAAACGAAATTGCACTCCGCGTCAATGATGCGGTTCAATGGTACTTTTAGCGCATGTCATGTGATTAAGAATTGACTAATGAGGTTGCAAGAATCTTAGTAGGCGTTGTATAATACCTTATATCCAGGGGGGGGGGGGGGTTAGGGGAATAATTCAAACGACCCTCTTTGGGGGTCATATTATCCTCTTTGGATCACATGCTTTATAAATGATCTTGAATCCCTCAACTCTTTTTCAAATGATCAAGCCAGCCTACCCAGAGTTGGCTTTTTACACATCTGCAGAAAACAGGGTTTGTTTGCATAATTGTAGCCATCGATCGTTGCTGCTAGCTAAGCTGCCCTCAATGTTTTGTTCTGTCCTCCCACCATTTTTAGCCATTTAATCATGTCACTGGGTAATTAGTTAGGTACACACTTGGCTCCAACAGGGAAAGTGTTGCCTTTTATAAAACATGGATTGAAACTTAAAAGAATGATGCCGACCGATTTTTTAATGACATGTATTTATAAAAATGTCTATATAGATATAAAATTTGGGGTCACAGTGTCCTGTTTGGATCACATGCTTTATAAATGCTCTTTATCCTAACTCAGATCAGCGAGCTACTCGACCAAGAGTTGGATTTACAAAGACGTAGGAGCTTGTTGGAGGTTTGTATGCATACCCTATAGCCATTGAACACTGTTGCCAAGTCCATGTATTCTGTTATGCTAAAGAAGATTTAATATTTTGTAACTTCCCATGTCCGTACTAAGGCATATTAACGTTTAAAACACGTCCAAAAAAGACTAATATTTGATTTGAATTTATATTCAATACTTTGTACTATCTTTCCACATTGTTTAGTCCTCATGTAACAGTATAGAGTATTGCCAACATTGGATGGAAGCATGTTGTGTATACTTAATTCAATATGCATGTGTACCAATTTTCATCTTCATATTGCTTACCATAACCGAGATCTCTGTGTCAATCAGCGTGTTTTCATTAGTTATACTGAATTTATCTGGTTAAAGGAAATAGTCTACAATTGGCAGGGAAGGGCAGTTTCTATCTACGCGCATTATCCTGAAAAATACACTGCTCCGATTACACGGCCGTGAATAAAAGTTCATCAAACTTTGGCTAAGGTCACTGCAAAGTATTGAGGGACTGCTAGGTCAACCTGGGATTGTAGTGTCGCGCGCATCGATGTAAAATATTCCGATCACGTGATCACTCTGCTTTCCGCTTTCTCTCTGCTATGTGCACTCAACCGGAACGAGGTGAGTTTCTACTTACGTTATCCGGTTAGCTTCCCCTGCAATATCCTTCTTGCCCGTGAACGCCACACAGCTCTCACAGCCATTATCCAGATAATGGCGGAGCAAGTCAGTTTCTATATGGCAAAATTCATCCCTTATCGGCCATTAACCGGATAATGGCTTTTAATAGAAACATGCTGAATGTCAATGCCCCCCCCCCCTCTACCTTGCAGCGCTTTCAGATTTCAGTTTGATATTTCTTCTGTTATGTCAGTGTACACTATGTCACTTGATAATACTCGAAGCTCTTTAGTATTTTGTAGAGTTTGTTACAATACTCTCATGTGCTTTATTCAATAAATCTTGTATTATAGGTAGATCAGGGCCTGTTTCATGGTGTTTTACAACTTACAACTGTGCAGTAGATATGCCTATGCTCTACAAAGCGTATCGGCGATGATGTTGTCCATTCCTTTAATATGAGTCACTCTAAGTCCATAAGGCTGGAGGAACAAGCTCCAACAAAACAGTCTCTGATTCTTGTTCCTGTATCGAAATGAAAAATAAGGCTACCAAGCTTATGAATTACATTTTGTGAATGTATCAACTCACATTTTGATATAACTAAGTCTATGTTTAATATATTTTCAGTCGATGGAGGAAAAGGGAGGAAAGAGGTCTGATGATACAGCTGCAAAATGGGTTTGTGTGCTTGAGATTTTCAATTCCATTTCTTACTTTGGGACCAAGTTTATACCCAACATGACCTTTTACTATGTGAACAGGCAAGGTATTTCATTGCCTAAGTATGTTAAAAGAAATGCCTATCACCTTCAATTAATTAGCTTTTAAAGTTACACAATAAAAAGGCAACAAGCTTGTGTAATCTGCCTTGTCATAGAAAACAGTCTTCCTTATTGAAAGCAATGATCTCTTTTGGTACTCAGATACCAGACGCAATGCTTTGATATATGATTATATTGGAGTTACTCATTTTTCTAAATATTTGTTCTTCTGCTGGTTTATATATTCCAAAATACAAATTTCCCATACCTTTAAAGATACTATGTCCCTTTTGCAACCAACCTCAAAATCTGTAGAACTTTGCAGGAATTATGAATATGTCATGTATGTCCTATCTGTGAACTTTAAAATTTAGCAGTTTCCTAATATTCAAATTATGCAAGGAAACCTGTTTACTTGCTAGACTTCACTGTCAGACACTATTGAGTGACTGACTAGCTTTTTTTCTTCTTCGGTAAAAAACATACATATAATGAGCTATAAAGGGTACATGAGCATTTGTCTACATCAATAACCCACTTCTTGTAATGGCCAAAATTTAACTGATTAAATCTTTGCGCAGCGTAAAACGTACGACCATTCGGTACAATGGTCTGAAAATCAAGACTATTACTTACTGGCTCTATAGCTCCTAAGTCGATTCGACAACTAATAGTCGTTATTTTCCCACTTAAAGACATTTTCAAGCCCCCCGTTTTCAGGGAAGATCTAAATTAGTATTATCTTATCTTTCAAATGCCGTTGGAATTTAATCTTTTATTTTTTTTGGTCTGCATAAGGAACATAGTATACAAACAGTGAATGTTCATGAGTGCAATTGTACAAGGTTTTGCACGACGTGAAAGATAAGAGCCGCTATATTCAACGAGGCGCAGCCGAGTTGAATGGAGCGTCTTATCTTTCACCGAATGCAAAATATTGTTCCATTGCACGAATAAAGACCATTCACTCTTTGTTTTAAACAACACCTCGGACGTTAACTGGCTTAAAACAGTTTTCCTAGGCCTAAATCTCAGCGGTTTTTGTATGTTTTCAATTTATGAAATTGCTGATAGTGAGCGCGCACTATTAAGCAGGCAGCAAACCACGCGCGTACCATGCGCCGCGGGTACAAACCTTTATGTTTATTGTTACGCGGAGTGCAATTTCATTTGATCCTTTCGCACCATTGCACTCTGACGTCACTTAGCTCACCATATACTTTGTACATCGTTAGTGACGTCAGAGTGCAATGGTGCGAAAGGATCGAACGAAATTGCACTCCGCATCAATGATGCCCTTCAATGGTACTTTTAGCACATGTCATGTGATCAAGAATTGACCAATGAGGTTGCAAGAATCTTAGTAGGCGTTGTATAATACCTTATATCCAGGGGGGGGGGGGGAATAATTCAAACGACCCTCTTTGGGGGTCATATTATCCTCTTTGGATCACATGCTCTATAAATGATCTTGAATCCCTCCTCAACTCTTTTTCAAATGATAAAGCCAGCCTACCCAGAGTTGGCTTTTTACACATCTGCAGAAAACAGGGTTTGTTTGCATAATTGTAGCCATCGATCATTGCTGCTAAGCTGCCCTCAATGTTTTGTTCTGTCCTCCCACCATTTTTAGCCGTTTAATCATGTCACTGGGTAATTAGTTAGGTACACACTTGGCTCCAACAGGAAAAGTGTTGCCTTTTATAAAACATGGATTGAAACTTAAAAGAATGATGCCGACCGAGTTTTTAATGACATGTATTTATAAAAATGTCTATATAGATATAAAATTTGGGGTCACAGTGTCCTGTTTGGATCACATGCTTTATAAATGCTCTTTATCCTAACTCAACTCTTTCAGATCAGCAAGCTACTCGACCAAGAGTTGGATTTACAAGAACGTAGGAGCTTGTTGGAGGTTTGTATGCATAACCTATAGCCATTGAACTCTGTTGCCAAGTCCATGTATTCTGTTATGCTAAAGAAGATTTAATATTTTGTAACTTCCCATGTCCGAACTAAGGCATATTAACGTTTAAAACACGTCCAAAGAAGACTAATATTTGATTTGAATTTATATTCAATACTTTGTACTATCTTTCCACATTGTTTAGTCCTCCTGTAACAGTATAGGGTATTGCCAAAATTGGATGGAAGCATGTTGTGTATACTTTATTCAATATGTGTACCAATTTTCATCTTCATATTGCTTACCATAACCGAGATCTCTGTGTCAATCAGCATGTTTCCATTAGTTATACTGAATTTATCTGGTTGAAGAAAATAGTCTACAATTGGCAGGGAAGGGCAGTTTCTATCTACGCGCATTATCCTGAAAAATACACTGCTCCTATTACATGGCCGTGAATAAAAGTTCATCAAACTTTGGCTAAGGTCACTGCAAAGTATTGAATGACTGCTAGGTCAACCTGGGATTGTAGTGTTGCGTACATCGATGTAAAATATTCCGATCACGTGATCACTCTGATTTCCGGTTTCTCTCTGCTATGTGCACTCAACCGGAATGAGGTGAGTTTCTACTTACGTTATCTGGTTAGCTTCCCCTGCAATATCCTTCTTGCCCGTGAACGCGACACAGCTCTCACGGCGGAGCAAGTCAGTTTCTATAGGGCAAAATTCATCCCTTATCGGCCATTAACCGGATAATGGCTTTTAATAGAAACGCGCTAAATGTCAATGCCCCCCCCCCCCCCTCTACCTTGCAGCACTTTCAGATTTCCGTTATATATTTCCTACTGTTATGTCAGTGTACACTATGTCACTTGATAACACTCAAAGCTCTTTAGTATTTTGAAGAGTTTGTTACAATACTCTCATTTGCTTTATTCAATAAATCTTGTATAATGGGTAGATCAGGGCCCGTTTCATGGTGTTTTACACCTTGCAAATGTTCAGTAGATATGCCTATGCTCTACAAAGCGTATCGGCGATGATGTTGTCCATTTCTTTAATATGAGTCACTCTTAGTCCATAAGGCTGGAGGAACAAGCTCCAACAAAACAGTCTCTGATTCTTGTTCCCGTATTGAACTGAAAAATAAGGCTACCAAGCTGATAAATTACGTTTTGTGAATGTATAAACTCACATTTTGATATAACTAAGTCTATGCTTTAATATAGTTTCAGTCGATGGAGGAAAAGGGAGGAAAGACGTCTGATGATACAACTGCAAAACGGGTTTGTGTGCTTGAGATTTTCAATTCCATTTTTTACTTTGGGTCCAAGTTTATACCCAACATGACCTTTTACTATGTGAACAGGCAAGGTATTTCATTGCCTAAGTATGTTAAAAGAAATGCTTATCACCTTCAATTAATTAGCTTTTAAAGTTACACAATAAAAAGGCAACAAGCTTGTGTAATCTGCCTTGTCATAGAAAACAGTCTTCCTTATTGAAAGCAATGATCTCTTTTGGTACTCAGATACCAGACGCAATGCTTTGATATATGATTATATTGGAGTTACTCATTTTTCTAAATATTTGTTCTTCTGCTGGTTTATATATTCCAAAATACAAATTTCCCATACCTTTAAAGATACTATGTCCCTTTTGCAACCAACCTCAAAATCTGTAGAACTTTGCAGGAATTATGAATATGTCATGTATGTCCTATCTGTGAACTTTAAAATTTAGCAGTGTCCTAATATTCAAATTATGCAAGGAAACCTGTTTACTTGCTAGACTTCACTGTCAGACACTATTGAGTGACTGACTAGCTTTTTTTCTTCTTTGGTAAAAAACATACTTATAATGAGCTATAAAGGGTACATGAGCATTTGTCTACATCAATAACCCACTTCTTGTAATGGCCAAAATTTAACTGATTAAATCTTTGCGCAGCATAAAACGTACGACCATTCGGTACAATGGTCTGAAAATCAAGACTATTACTTACTGGCTCTATAGCTCCTAAGTCGATTCGACAACTAATAGTCGTTATTTTCCCACTTAAAGACATTTTCAAGCCCCCCTTTTTCAGGGAAGATCTGGATTAGTATTATCTTATCTTTCAAATGCTGTTGGAATTTAATCTTTTAATTTTTTTGGCCTGCATAAGGAACATAGTATACAAATAATGAATGGTCATGAGTGCAATTGTACAAGGTTTTGCACGACGTGAAAGATAAGAGACGCTATATTCAACGAGGCGCAGCCGAGTTGAATGAAGCGTCTTATCTTTCACCGAATGCAAAATATTGTTCCATAGCACGAATAAAGACCATTCACTCTTTGTTTTATACAACACCTCGGACGTTAATGGGCTTAAAACAGTTTTCCTAGGCCTAAATCTCAGCGGTTTTTGTATGTTTTCAATTTATGAAATTGCTGATAGTGAGCGCGCACTATTAAGCAGGCAGCAAACCACGTGCGTACCATGCGCCGCGGGTACAAACCTTTATGTTTATTGTTACGAGGAGTGCAATTTCGTTTGATCCTTAGCACCATTGCGCTCTGAAGTCACTTAGCTCACCATATACTTTGTACATCGTTAGTGACGTCAGAGTGCAATGGTGCGAAAGGATCAAACAAAATTGCACTCCGCGTCAATGATGCCGTTCAATGGTACTTTTAGCGCATGTCATGTGATCAAGAATTGTCCAATGAGGTTGCAAGAACCTTATAGGCGTTGTATAATACCTTATATCCAGGGGGGGAGGGGAATAATTCAAACGACCCTCTTTGGGGGTCATAGTATCCTCTTTGGATCACATGCTCTATAAATGATCTTGAATCCCTCCTCGACTCTTTTTCAAATGATCAAGCCAGCCTACTCAGAGTTGTCTTTTTACACATCTGCAGAAAACAGGGTTTGTTTGCATAATTGTAGCCATCGATCATTGCTGCTAAGCTGCCCTCAATGTTTTGTTCTGTCCTCCCACCATTTTTAGCCGTTTAATCATGTCACTGGGTAATTAGTTAGGTACACACTTGGCTCCAACAGGGAAAGTGTTGCCTTTTATAAAACATGGATTGAAACTTAAAAGAATGATGCCGACCGAGTTTTTAATGACATGTATTTATAAAAATGTCTATATAGATATAAAATTTGGGGTCACAGTGTCCTGTTTGGATCACATGCTTTATAAATGCTCTTTATCCTAACTCAATTCTTTCAGATCAGCGAGCTACTCGACCGAGAGTTAGATTTACATAGACGTAGGAGCTTGTTGGAGGTTTGTATGCATAACCTATAGCCATTGAACACTGTTGCCAAGTCCATGTATTCTGTTATGCTAAAGAAGATTTAATATTTTGTAACTTCCCATGTCCGAACTAAGGCATATTAACGTTTAAAACACGTCGATCCAAAGGAGACTAATATTTGATTTGAATTTATATTCAATGCTTTGTACTATCTTTCCACATTGTTTAGTCCTCATGTAACAGTATAGGGTATTGCCAACATTGGATGGAAGCATGTTGTGTATACTTTATTCAATATGTGTACCAATTTTCATCTTCATATTGCTTACCATAACCGAGATCTCTGTGTCAATCAGCGTGTTTCCATTAGTTATACTGAATCTATCTGGTTGAAGGAAATAGTCTACAATTGGCAGGGAAGGGCAGTTTCTATCTACCCGCATTATCCTGAAAAATACACTGCTCCGATTACACGGCCGTGAATAAAAGTTCGTCAAACTTTGGCTAAGGTCACTGCAAAGTATTGAATGACTGCTAGGTCAACCTGGGATTGTAGTGTCGCGCGCATCGATGTAAAATATTCCGATCACGTGATCACTCTGCTTTCCGGTTTCTCTCTGCTATGTGCACTCAACCGGAACGAGGTGAGTTTCTACTTACGTTATCCGGTTAGCTTCCCCTGCAATATCCTTCTTGCTCGTGAACGCGACACAGCTCTCACGGCCATTATCCGGATAATGGCAGAGCAAGTCAGTTTCTATATGGCAAAATTCATCCCTTATCGGCCATTAACCGGATAATGGCTTTTAATAGAAACGTACTGAATGTCAATGCCCCCCCCCTCTCTACCTTGCAGCGCTTTCAGATTTCAGTTTTATATTTCTTCTGTTATGTCAGTGTACACTATGTCACTTGATAATACTCGAAGCTCTTTAGTATTTTGTAGAGTTTGTTACAATACTCTCATGTGCTTTATTCAATAAATCTTGTATTATAGGTAGATCAGGGCCTGTTTTATGGTGTTTTACAACTTACAACTGTGCAGTAGATATGCCTATGCTCTACAAAGCGTATCGGCGATGATGTTGTCCATTCCTTTAATATGAGTCACTCTTAGTCCATAAGGCTGGAGGAACAAGCTCCAACAAAACAGTCTCTGATTCTTGTTCCTGTATCGAAATGAAAAATAAGGCTACCAAGCTTATGAATTACATTTTGTGAATGTATCAACTCACATTTTGATATAACTCAGTCTATGTTTAATATATTTTCAGTCGATGGAGGAAAAGGGAGGAAAGAGGTCTGATGATACAGCTGCAAAATGGGTTTGTGTGCTTGAGATTTTCAATTCCATTTCTTACTTTGGGACCAAGTTTATACCCAACATGACCTTTTACTATGTGAACAGGCAAGGTATTTCATTGCCTAAGTATGTTAAAAGAAATGCCTATCACCTTCAATTAATTAGCTTTTAAAGTTACACAATAAAAAGGCAACAAGCTTGTGTAATCTGCCTTGTCATAGAAAACAGTCTTCCTTATTGAAAGCAATGATCTCTTTTGGTACTCAGATACCAGACGCAATGCTTTGATATATGATTATATTGGAGTTACTCATTTTTCTAAATATTTGTTCTTCTGCTGGTTTATATATTCCAAAATACAAATTTCCCATACCTTTAAAGATACTATGTCCCTTTTGCAACCGACCTCAAAATCTGTAGAACTTTGCAGGAATTATGAATATGTCATGTATGTCCTATCTGTGAACTTTAAAATTTAGCAGTGTCCTAATATTCAAATTATGCAAGGAAACCTGTTTACTTGCTAGACTTCACTGTCAGAACACTATTGAGTGACTGACTAGCTTTTTTTCTTCTTTGGTAAAAAACATACATATAATGAGCTATAAAGGGTACATGAGCATTTGTCTACATCAATAACCCACTTCTTGTAATGGCCAAAATTTAACTGATTAAATCTTTGCGCAGCGTAAAACGTACGACCATTCAGTACAATGGTCTGAAAATCAAGACTATTACTTACTGGCTCTATAGCTCCTAAGTCGATTCGACAACTAATAGTCGTTATTTTCCCACTTAAAGACATTTTCAAGCCCCCCTTTTTCAGTGAAGATCTAAATTAGTATTATCTTATCTTTCAAATGCCGTTGGAATTTAATCTTTTAATTTGTTTGGTCTGCATAAGGAACATAGTATACAAACAGTGAATGTTCATGAGTGCAATTGTACAAGGTTTTGCACGACGTGAAAGATAAGAGCCGCTATATTCAACGAGGCGCAGGCCGCGCAGCCGAGTTGAATGGAGCGTCTTATCTTTCACCGAATGCAAAATATTGTTCCATTGCACGAATAAAGACCATTCACTCTTTGTTTTATACAACACCTCGGACGTTAACGGGCTTAAAACAGTTTTCCTAGGCCTAAATCTCAGCGGTTTTTGTATGTTTTCAATTTATGAAATTGCTGATAGTGAGCGCGCACTATTAAGCAGGCAGCAAACCACGCGCGTACCATGCGCCGCGGGTACAAACCTTTATGTTTATTGTTACGCGGAGTGCAATTTCGTTTGATTTTTTCGCACCATTGCACTCTGACGTCACTTAGCTCACCATATACTTTGTACATCGTTAGTGACGTCAGAGTGCAATGGTGCGAAAGGATCAAACAAAATTGCACTCCGCGTCAATGATGCCGTTCAATGGTACTTTTAGCACATGTCATGTGATCAAGAATTGACCAATGAGGTTGCAAGAATCTTAGTAGGCGTTGTATAATACCTTATATCCAGGGGGGGGGGGGGGTAATAATTCAAACGACCCTCTTTGGGGGTCATATTATCCTCTTTGGATCACATGCTCTATAAATGATCTTGAATCCCTCCTCAACTCTTTTTCAAACGATAAAGCCAGCCTACCCAGAGTTGTCTTTTTACACATCTGCAGAAAACAGGGTTTGTTTGCATAATTGTAGCCATCGATCATTGCTGCTAAGCTGCCCTCAATGTTTTGTTCTGTCCTCCCACCATTTTTAGCCGTTTAATCATGTCACTGGGTAATTAGTTAGGTACACACTTGGCTCCAACAGGGAAAGTGTTGCCTTTTATAAAACATGGATTGAAACTTAAAAGAATGATGCTGACCGAGTTTTTAATGACATGTATTTATATAAAATGTCTATATAGATATAAAATTTGGGGTCACAGTGTCCTGTTTGGATCACATGCTTTATAAATGCTCTTTATCCTAACTCAACTCTTTCAGATCAGCAAGCTACTCGACCAACAGTTGGATTTGCAAAGACGTAGGAGCTTGTCGGAGGTTTGTATGCATATCCTATAGCCATTGAACTCTGTTGCCAAGTCCATGTATTCTGTTATGCTAAAGAAGATTTAATATTTTGTAACTTCCCATGTCCGAAATAAGGCATATTAACGTTTAAAACACGTCCAAAGAAGACTAATATTTGATTTGAATTTATATTCAATACTTTGTACTATCTTTCCACATTGTTTAGTCCTCCTGTTACAGTATAGGGTATTGCCAAAATTGGATGGAAGCATGTTGTGTATACTTTATTCAATATGTGTACCAATTTTCATCTTCATATTGCTTACCATAACCGAGATCTCTGTGTCAATCAGCATGTTTCCATTAGTTATACTGAATTCATCTGGTTGAAGAAAATAGTCTACAATTGGCAGGGAAGGGCAGTTTCTATCTACGTGCATTATCCTGAAAAATACTCTGCTCTGATTTCACGGCCGTGAATAAAAGTTCATCAAACTTTGGCTAAGGTCACTGCAAAGTATTGAATGACTGCTAGGTCAACCTGGGATTGTAGTGTTGCGTGCATCGATGTAAAATATTCCGATCACGTGATCACTCTGATTTCCGGTTTCTCTCTGCTATGTGCACTCAACCGGAATGAGGTCATTTTCTACTTACGTTATCTGGTTAGCTTCCCCTGCAATATCCTTCTTGCCCGTGAACGCGACACAGCTCTCACGGCGGAGCAAGTCAGTTTCTATAGGGCAAAATTCATCCCTTATCGGCCATTAACCGGATAGTGGCTTTTAATAGAAATGCGCTAAATGTCAATGCCCCCCCCCTCTACCTTGCAGCGCTTTCAGATTTCAGTTATATATTTCCTACTGTTATGTCAGTGTCGTACTATGTCACTTGATAACACTCAAAGCTCTTTAGTATTTTGTAGAGTTTGTTACAATACTCTCATTTGCTTTATTCAATAAATCTTGTATAATGGGTAGATCAGGGCCCGTTTCATGGTGTTTTACAACTTGCAACTGTTCAGTAGATATGCCTATGCTCTACAAAGCGTATCGGCGATGATGTTGTCCATTTCTTTAATATGAGTCACTCTTAGTCCATAAGGCTGGAGGAACAAGCTCCAACAAAACAGTCTCTGATTCTTGTTCCTGTATCGAAATGAAAAATAAGGCTACCAAGCTTATGAATTACATTTTGTGAATGTATAACTCACATTTTAATATAACTAAGTCTATGCTTTAATATATTTTCAGTCGATGGAGGAAAAGGGAGGAAAGAGGTCTGATGATACAACTGCAAAACGGGTTTGTGGGCTTGAGATTTTCAATTCCATTTTTTACTTTGGGTCCAAGTTTATACCCAACATGACCTTTTACTATGTGAACAGGCAAGGTATTTCATTGCCGTAAGTATGTTAAAAGAAATACCTATCACCTTCAATTAATTAGCTTTTAAAGTTACACAATAAAAAGGCAACAAGCTTGTGTAATCTGCCTTGTCATAGAAAACAGTCTTCCTTATTGAAAGCAATGATCTCTTTTGGTACTCAGATACCAGACGCAATGCTTTGATATATGATTATATTGGAGTTACTCATTTTTCTAAATATTTGTTCTTCTGCTGGTTTATATATTCCAAAATACAAATTTTCAATACCTTTAAAGATACTATGTCCCTTTTGTCCCTTTTGCAACCAACCTCAAAATCTGTAGAACTTTGCAGGAATTATGAATATGTCATGTATGTCCTATCTGTGAACTTTAAAATTTAGCAGTGTCCTAATATTCAAATTATGCAAGGAAACCTGTTTACTTGCTAGACTTCACTGTCAGACACTATTGAGTGACTGACTAGCTTTTTTTCTTCTTTGGTAAAAAACATACTTATAATGAGCTATAAAGGGTACATGAGCATTTGTCTACATCAATAACCCACTTCTTGTAATGGCCAAAATTTAACTGATTAAATCTTTGCGCAGCATAAAACGTACGACCATTCGGTACAATGGTCTGCAAATCAAGACTATTACTTACTGGCTCTATAGCTCCTAAGTCGATTCAACAACTAATAGTCGTTATTTTCCCACTTAAAGACATTTTCAAGCCCCTCTTTTTCAGGGAAGATCTAAATTAGTATTATCTTATCTTTCAAATGCTGTTGGAATTTAATCATTTAATTTTTTTGGCCTGCATAAGGAACATAGTATACAAATAATGAATGGTCATGAGTGCAATTGTACAAGGTTTTGCACGACGTGAAAGATAAGAGACGCTATATTCAACGAGGCGCAGCCGAGTTGAATGGAGCGTCTTATCTTTCACCGAATGCAAAATATTGTTCCATAGCACGAATAAAGACCATTCACTCTTTGTTTTATACAACACCTCGGACGTTAATGGGCTTAAAAACAGTTTTCCTAGGCCTAAAGCTCAGCGGTTTTTGTATGTTTTCAATTTATGAAATTGCTGATAGTGAGCGCGCACTATTAAGCAGGCAGCAAACCACGCGGGTACAAACCTTTATGTTTATTGTTACGAGGAGTGCAATTTCGTTTGATCCTTTAGCACCATTGCACTCTGAAGTCACCTAGCTTACCATATACTTTGTACATCGTTAGTGACGTCAGAGTGCAATGGTGCGAAAGGATCAAACGAAATTGCACTCCGCATCAATGATGCCGTTCAATGGTACTTTTAGCGCATGTCATGTGATCAAGAATTGACCAATGAGGTTGCAAGAATCTTAGTAGGCGTTGTATAATACCTTATATCCAGGGGGGGGGGGGAATAATTCAAACGACCCTCTTTGGGGGTCATATTATCCTCTTTGGATCACATGCTTTATAAATGATCTTGAATCCATCCTCAACTCTTTTTCAAATGATCAAGCCAGCCTACCCAGAGTTGTCTTTTTACACATCTGCAGAAAACAGGGTTTGTTTGCATAATTGTAGCCATCGATCATTGCTGCTAAGCTGCCCTCAATGTTTTTTTCTGTCCTCCCACCATTTTTAGCCGTTTAATCATGTCACTGGGTAATTAGTTAGGTACACACTTGGCTCCAACAGGGAAAGTGTTGCCTTTTATAAAACATGGATTGAAACTTAAAAGAATGATGCCGACCGATTTTTTAATGACATGTATTTATAAAAATGTCTATATAGATATAAAATTTGGGGTCACAGTGTCCTGTTTGGGTCACATGCTTTATAAATGCTCTTTATCCTAATTTAACTCTTTCAGATCAGCGAGCTACTCAAACACGAGTTGGAAATACAAAGATGTAGGAGCTTGTTTAATTTTGTAAGCATAACCTATAGCCATTGAACACTGTTGCCAAGTCCATGTATTCTGTTATGCTTAAGAAGATTTAATATTTTGTAACTTCCCATATCCGTTCTAAGGCATATTAACGTTTAAAACACGTCCAAAGAAGACTAATATTTGATTTGAATTTATATTCAATGCTTTGTAATATCTTTCCACATTGTTTAGTCCTCATGTAACAGTATAGGGTATTGCCAACATTGGATGGAAGCATGTTGTGTATACTTTATTCAATATGTGTACCAATTTTCATCTTCATATTGCTTACCATAACCGAGATCTCTGTGTCAATCAGCGTGTTTCCATTAGTTATACTGAATTTATCTGGTTGACGGAAATAGTCTACAATTGGCAGGGAAGGGCAGTTTCTATCTACGCGCATTATCCTGAAAAATACACTGCTCCAATTACACGGCCGTGAATAAAAGTTCATCAAACTTTGGCTAAGGTCACTGCAAAGTATTGAGGGACTGCTAGGTCAACCTGGGATTGTAGTGTCGCGCACATCGATGTAAAATATTCCGATCACGTGATCACTCTGCTTTCTGGTTTCTCTGTGCTATGTGCACTCTACCGGAACGAGGTGAGTTTCTACTTACGTAATCTGGTTAGCTTCCCCTGCAATATCCTTCTTGCCCGTGAACGCGACACAGCTCTCACGGCCATTATCCGGATAATGCCGGAGCAACTCAGTTTCTATATGGCAAAATTCATCCCTTATCGGCCATTAACCGGATAATGGCTTTTAATAGAAACGCGCTGAATGTCAATGCCCCCACCCCCCCCCCCCCCCCCCTCTACCTTGCAGCACTTTCAGATTTTAGTTTTATATTTCCTACTGTTATGTCAGTGTACACTATGTCACTTGATAATACTCGAAGCTCTTAAGTATTTTGTAGAGTTTGTTACAATACTCTCATTTGCTTTATTCAATAAATCTTGTATAATGGGTAGATCAGGGCCCGTTTCATGGTGTTTTACAACTTGCAACTGTTCAGTAGATATGCCTATGCTCTACAAAGCGTATCGGCGATGATGTTGTCCATTTCTTTAATATGAGTCACTCTTAGTCCATAAGGCTGGAGGAGCAAGCTCCAACAAAACAGTCTCTGATTCTTGTTCCTGTATCGAAATGAAAAATAAGGCTACCAAGCTAATAAATTACATTTTGTGAATGTATAAACTCACATTTTGATATAACTAAGTCTATGCTTTAAATTTTTTCAGTCGATGGAGGAAAAGGGAGGAAAGAGGTCTTTTCATACAGCTGCAAAATGGGTTTGTGTGCTTGAGATTTTCAATTCCATTTCTTACTTTGGGACCAAGTTTATACCCAACATGACCTTTTACTATGTGAACAGGCAAGGTATTTCATTGCCGTAAGTATGTTAAAAGAAATGCCTATCACCTTCAATTAATTAGCTTTTAAAGTTACACAATAAAAAGGCAACAAGCTTGTGTAATCTGCCTTGTCATAGAAAACAGTCTTCCTTATTGAAAGCAATGATCTCTTTTGGTACTCAGATACCAGACGCAATGCTTTGATATATGATTATATTGGAGTTACTCATTTTTCTAAATATTTGTTCTTCTGCTGGTTGATATATTCCAAAATACAAATTTCCCATACCTTTAAAGATACTATGTCCCTTTTGCAACGAACCTCAAAATCTGTAGAACTTTGCAGGAATTATGAATATGTCATGTATGTCCTATCTGTGAACTTTAAAATTTAGCAGTGTCCTAATATTCAAATTATGCAAGGAAACCTGTGTACTTGCTAGACTTCACTGTCAGACACTATTGAGTGACTGACTAGCTTTTTTTCTTCTTTGGTAAAAAACATACATATAATGAGCTATAAAGGGTACATGAGCATTTGTCTACATCAATGACCCACTTCTTGTAATGGCCAAAATTTAACTGATTAAATCTTTGCGCAGCATAAAACGTACGACCATTCGGTACAATGGTCTGAAAATCAAGACTATTACTTACTGGCTCTATAGCTCCTAAGTCGATTCGACAACTAATAGTCGTTATTTTCCCACTTTAAGACATTTTCAAGCCCCCCTTTTTCAGGGAAGATCTAAATTAGTATTATCTTATCTTTCAAATGCTGTTGGAATTTAATCTTTTAATTTTTTTGGCCTGCATAAGGAACATAGTATACAAATAGTGAATGGTCATGAGTGCAATTGTACAAGGTTTTGCACGACGTGAAAGATAAGAGACGCTATATTCAACGAGGCGCAGCCAAGTTGAATGGAGCGTCTTATCTTTCACCGAATGCAAAATATTGTTCCATTGCACGAATAAAGACCATTCACTCTTTGTTTTATACAACACCTCGGACGTTAACGGGCTTAAAACAGTTTTCCTAGGCCTAAATCTCAGCGGTTTTTGTATGTTTTCAATTTATGAAATTGCTGATAGTGAGCGCGCACTATTAAGCAGGCAGCAAACCACGCGCGTACAAACCTTTATGTTTATTGTTACGCGGAGTGCAATTTCGTTTGATCCTTTCACACCATTGCACTCTGACGTCACTTAGCTCACCATATACTTTGTACATCGTTAGTGACGTCAGAGTGCAATGGTGCGAAAGGATCAAACGAAATTGCACTCCGCATCAATGATGCCGTTCAATGGTTCTTTTAGCGCATGTCATGTGATCAAGAATTGACCAATGAGGTTGCAAGAATCTTAGTAGGCGTTGTATAATACCTTATATCCAGGGGGGGGAATAATTCAAACGACCCTCTTTGGGGGTCATATTATCCTCTTTGGATCACATGCTTTATAAATGATCTTGAATCCATCCTCAACTCTTTTTCAAATGATCAAGCCAGCCTACCCAGAGTTGTCTTTTTACACATCTGCAGAAAACAGGGTTTGTTTGCATAATTGTAGCCATCGATCATTGCTGCTAAGCTGCCCTCAATGTTTTGTTCTGTCCTCCCACCATTTTTAGCTGTTTAATCATGTCACTGGGTAATTAGTTAGGTACACACTTGGCTCCAACAGGGAAAGTGTTGCCTTTTATAAAACATGGATTGAAACTTAAAAGAATGATGCCGACCGATTTTTTAATGACATGTATTTATAAAAATGTCTATATAGATATAAAATTTGGGGTCACAGTGTCCTGTTTGGATCACATGCTTTATAAATGCTCTTTATCCTAACTCAACTCTTTCAGATCAGCAAGCTACTCGACCGAGAGTTGGATTTACAAAGACGTAGGAGCTTGTTGGAGGTTTGTATGCATAACCTATAGCCATTGAACACTGTTGCCAAGTCCATGTATTCTGTTATGCTAAAGAAGATTTAATATTTTGTAACTTCCCATGTCCGTACTAAGGCATATTAACGTTTAAAACACGTCGATCCAAAGGAGACTAATATTTGATTTGAATTTATATTCAATGCTTTGTACTATCTTTCCACATTGTTTAGTCCTCATGTAACAGTATAGGGTATTGCCAACATTGGATGGAAGCATGTTGTGTATACTTTATTCAATATGTCACTTGATAACACTCAAAGCTCTTTAGTATTTTGTAGAGTTTGTTACAATACTCTCATGTGCTTTATTCAATAAATCTTGTATAATAGGTAGATCAGGGCCCGTCTCATGGTGTTTTACAACTGTTCAGTAGATATGCCTATGCTCTACAAAGCGTATCGGCGATGATGTTGTCCATTTCTTTAATATGAGTCACTCTTAGTCCATAAGGCTGGAGGAGCAAGCTCCAACAAAACAGTCTCTGATTCTTGTTCCTGTATCGAAATGAAAAATAAGGCTACCAAGCTTATAAATTTTATTTTGTGAATGTATAAACTCACATTTTGATATAACTAAGTCTATGCTTTAATATATTTTCAGTCGATGGAGGAAAAGGGAGGAAAGAGGTCTGATGATACAACTGCAAAATGGGTTTGTGTGCTTGAGATTTTCAATTCCATTTCTTACTTTGGGACCAAGTTTATACCCAACATGACCTTTTACTATGTGAACAGGCAAGGTATTTCATTGCCGTATTAGTATGTTAAAAGAAATGCCTATCACCTTCAATTAATTAGCTTTTAAAGTTACACAATAAAAAGGCAACAAGCTTGTGTAATCTGCCTTGTCATAGAAAACAGTCTTCCTTATTGAAAGCAATGATCTCTTTTGGTACTCAGATACCAGACGCAATGCTTTGATATATGATTATATTGGAGTTACTCATTTTTCTAAATATTTGTTCTTCTGCTGGTTTATATATTCCAAAATACAAATTTCCCATACCTTTAAAGATACTATGTCCCTTTTGCAACCAACCTCAAAATCTGTAGAACTTTGCAGGAATTATGAATATGTCATGTATGTCCTATCTGTGAACTTTAAAATTTAGCAGTGTCCTAATATTCAAATTATGCAAGGAAACCTGTGTACTTGCTAGACTTCACTGTCAGACACTATTGAGTGACTGACTAGCTTTTTTCTTCTTTGGTAAAAAACATACATATAATGAGCTATAAAGGGTACATGAGCATTTGTCTACATCAATGACCCACTTCTTGTAATGGCCAAAATTTAACTGATTAAATCTTTGCGCAGCATAAAACGTACGACCATTCGGTACAATGGTCTGAAAATCAAGACTTTTACTGACTGGCTCTATAGCTCCTAAGTCGATTCGACAACTAATAGTCGTTATTTTCCCACTTAAAGACATTTTCAAGCCCCCCTTTTTCAGGGAAGATCTAAATTAGTATTATCTTATCTTTCAAATGGCGTTGGAATTTAATCTTTTAATTTTTTGGCCTGCATAAGGAACATAGTATACAAATAGTAAATGGTCATGAGTGCTATTGTACAAGGTTTTGCACGACGTGAAAGATAAGAGACGCTATATTCAACGAGGCGCAGCCAAGTTGAATGGAGCGTCTTATCTTTCACCGAATGCAAAATATTGTTCCATTGCATGAATAAAGACCATTCACTCTTTGTTTTATACAACACCTCGGACGTTAACGGGCTTAAAACAGTTTTCCTAGGCCTAAATCTCAGCGGTTTTTGTATGTTTTCAATTTATGAAATTGCTGATAGTGAGCGCGCACTATTAAGCAGGCAGCAAACCACGCGCGTACCATGCGCCGCGGGTACAAACCTTTATGTTTATTGTTACGCGGACTGCAATTTCGTTTGATCCTTTAGCACCAATGCAACATGAAGTCACTTAACTCACCATATACTTTGTACATCGTTAGTGACGTCAGAGTGCAATGGTGCGAAAGGATCAAACGAAATTGCACTCCGCGTCAATGATGCCGTTCAATGGTACTTTTTAATTCAATTCAATTTATTTTATTCCATTCATCATATAAAAACAACATAATTATAACATTGATATAATACAGATAACTAAAGAACATACAAATAACATAACGAAAGATAAACATAAAATACAAATATATATAAGAATGAGGAACCAGCAAGAAAGAACAATTAAGTCTTATTTAGGGCTGGTCCCTTGTGACATAAAAAGAATTTTAACCTATAACACTTAACACTTTACAGCTAACACCTAACAACTAAAATCTAACACCTGATTGCATATATATATATATATATAAAATGATAAAATACTATTCATAAAAACGTAATTTTTTGTATCTCCTTTTAAATGTATTCAGAGTTGGGCTTGATTTAACACTAGAAGGTAACTCATTCCATAAAATTGGTCCTTTAAAGAAAATTGAATTTTTAGAGACAGAAGTTTTAATAAGTGGTAAATGAAAATGAAATGATTGCCTAGTTCCATTTGAATGTATTTCAGAATTCAAAATAAATTTGTTTGAAAGACTAGGAGGGATATTACCTTTATGACATAAAAACATAAATATAACAATATTATAGTCATTCAATTCAAATACATTAAAACATTTAAAACGGACAAAAATAGGTTTTGTATGGGCAAGATAATGGGATCCTGAGATAATACGTATTGCCTTCTTTTGTAATTTATATAGTCTATTCATACAATAATCTTTTGAATTTGCCCAAACAGTATTGCAATAATTTAATTATGATAAAAACAATGCATTGTATATCATTAATAAAATCTTATAAGGGAAATGTTTTAATTTGTATAAAATACCAACTACTTTTGAGAGTTTATTACAGATTGCTTTAATATGAATGTGCCATGACATTTTATAATCAATTTGAATACCTAAAAATGTCAATGAGTTACAACGCTGTACAACATTTCCATTAATCTTTACTTCAATATCATCAGTTATAATGTTTTTGTTTGTAAAAATTATATAATTAGTTTTCTTTACATTTAAGATTAATTTATTAATATACAACCATTGAGAAATGTTTTGAAGCTCATCATTAAATCGTATCACTAGTCTATCTAAATCGTTATCAGACAAAAATAAACTTGAATCATCGGCATACAGTATACATTGTAATATTTGTGAAGCCTGAGTAATATCATTCATATATACAAGAAATAATAAGGGTCCTAATATCGAGCCTTGAGGTACTCCACATCCTATGGTTTTAAAATCAGATTTAATTTTATTAAAAAGAACATATTGTTTTCGGCTTGTTAAATAGCTTTCAAACCATTTTAACAAAACACCTCATATTCCATAATTGAACAATTCATCTAAGAGAATTTTATGATCCAACGTATCAAATGCCTTACTAAGATCGAGAAATATTCCTAACATAATTTGTTTATTATCTAAGGCATTTGAAACTTTATAAACAAAATAAATTAGTGCAGAGGATGTGGAGTGACCAGCTCTAAAACCATATTGACTATCCGATAATAAATTACATTGGTTCAAAAAATATATCAGTCTATTATAAAAACATTTTTCTAAGATTTTTGAAAATACTGGCAAGACTGATATTGGCCGATAATTACTCATTGTATCGAAAGATCCATTTCTATATACAGGAATAACTTTTGCTATTTTTAACTTTTCCGGAAAAATACCTTGGTTCATAGATTCATTAAAAATACGACACAGCGGATAGCATATAATGTGAACAACCCTTTTAACGATGACAATATCAATTTCATCATAACCAGTGCTTGATTTGCTTCTCCAGTCACAAACAATATCTATAATTTCTTTAGTTGTAATAGGCTTAAAAAAGGCAGTTACATTATTATTTTCTAGATATTGCATATGATTATTATTTCCAACCAAAGTATTTTGAACATTATTTCTCAAAGAAGCACCTATATTAACGAAATAATTATTAAACTCTTGAGCAATGCATAAATCGTCTGTAACCCGTCCATTGTTGACTTGAATGTACTCAATATTTGTATCACGAGTCTTAAATGAATTTCCTATAGCTTTGTTTATTAACTTCCATGTTTCTTTCATGTCATATTGGACATTTTGAAACTTGTTTTTAAATATTCATATTTCACATGTTTAATTTCATGGTTCAAGTTATTTCTGTACATCTTATACACACTTTTTCTATAGTCAGTTGGATTTTGTAAGGATTTTTTGTACAACTTGTATTTTTTATTGCACATTTTACGTAATTTATTTGTAAACCATGATTTATCTCTTCTTTTCTTTTTAAATTTAATGGAGTGTAGAGGAAAACATTTATTATATAGCTGCATAAATTGATACAAAAAATTATTATAACTCACATTTGGATCTTCATTATCTACTCTCCAATTAACATCATTCAAAAGATTAATACATTTTCTAATGCTTATCTCATTAATATCACGTTTCATAGTTGTCTGTGATTTCTTAAGTGTTATCTGAGAGTTTGATATACAAAATACAGGAAAATGATTACTAATATCCGCAAGTATAACTCCTGATAAAACATCATCAATGTTATTTGTAAAGATATTATCAATCAGTGATATCGAATGATCAGTGATGCGAGTTGGGTAATGAATTACTGGATACATCGATTTTGTCATAAATACATCTAAAAATTCATTTGTTTTAGAGCAAGAGTCGACGGTCAATATATTAATATTATAATCCCCAATAAGATATACATATTTATTTTCTTTATTTACAATATTTAAAACTGAATTTAATGATTCAAAAAATTCATTTTCAGATTCACCCGGAGGTCTATAAATAACACCAATAATAATATTTTTAATTGAATTTTGAATTTCAATAAAAATAGACTCCATACAATTAACATTAATGTCTAAATCTACTCTTTGTTTATAAACGAAATCATCTCTAACATATATACCAACTCCTCCTCCTCGACGTTCTACTCTATTATTACCCATAAATTTGAATCCATCTAAATTATATTTAGGATCGCTGTTGCGTAACCACGTTTCAGTTAATCCTAATGTACAAAAGGGATTACCAATAACATGCAAAAAAGATTCCAAACTAGAGAAGTTTTTTTTTATACTTCTGCAATTTACATGAAGACATGAAAATTGTTTTTCTAAATATTTATCAACAGTGTGCACATTTAACATTTTTGTGAAATCTTCAGGAGTATAAAATGATTGTTGAAACCTTTATGATTCTTGATCATTTATTATAGGAGATAATTTTTCAAAGATAGCATTAATATCAACATTGTTTAAAAATTGTTGATAGTTTATACGATCAGGCATTTAGTAAAATACACAAACAAAAGAAAATACAAGTATAATTCAACGAAGTAATTACAATTACGTAACAGGGTTTAAAAAAGTGGGAACGTAAAATCCAAACAGTCTAAAGATATATTAATTGCAAAAAAGGTAATTATGAATATTGCTATGTACATGTATATAAAATATAATATCTGGATTCTGAATTCTCTCATTGGGGCAAGAAAGTGAGAAAAAAAACTTCTTTACAGAGTGCTAAGGTCCGACAGAGAGGTAATGGCTTCTTCATTTCTTTTCTACTATGGCAAAGACTCTACCATCTGTCGTCCAAGAAGCTGTCACATTTTGCTTTTTTGAGGTCTCATAGAGAAGGGTCGTGTTTTTCTTTGTCAAATCTTCAACGATCACAGTCCCAGACCCTTTGAGTTTTCGTCTATTCTGCACCATGGTTTGCTTAGACTTGTATGAAACAAATTTCACAATGATTGGCGGCGCAGCATCTTTCTTGGATGCCGCGGCTGCGAACGAATTTTGGTCATTCGACGATTTCCGTTTGTAGATACGATGCGATCGGTCTATTTCGCTTGGGTTGAGGTTGACTCCGATGCGTCGCGCGATATCACAGGCAATGCTGTCTGTATCCTCTCCCGAGGTCACTTTCACACCAAGAATCTGAATATTATTTCGGCGCGAGTATTGTTCTTGATGATCGAGTCGGCCGGTAAGTTCGTTGACCTTGGTTGCGCTCTTTTCTACAGCTACCTCTTTAGCCCGAACTTGCCGAAGTTTGCTGTCAATAGATAATTCCAATTCATGAAGATTTGCTAGTCGTGCATCCAAGAGATCTCGTAGATTGTTCTCTCGTTTCTCCATTTCTTTTGCAAATTTTTGATGTTCCCGCTCCATAGCAACATCTACCGCCTTTTGCACGACTGCGTCTATTCTATCCATGAAACCAGAACTCTTGCAAAGGTCATCAATTGAAAAAACAGGCGGTGTGCTCTGCTCAGGCTCAGTGTCAGCTGCGTCGGCATTGTCATGCTGCTTCTTCGACCGCGTCATCATTACCTCTTTGTAAAATTTAGGATTCTAGCTGTTGATGTTACGTAATAGAACAAGCGAATTGATGACGGAACGTTGTATGAACTAGTAATACTACACAGAGCACGTATGCTGTAGGCTGAAGCAAGTTGAAAGTACGCTAACAGGAAAACATACAAATGGGACTGTTGATTTTACTACGCAACCACGGAAGCAAAATATAAATAGATCGAGTTTCAAAAATCCATTAAATTGCTCACTGTCAATAAATGTTTTCGGTGGAAGGTGAAGAGTTCAAACGTCTTAAGTCATACTCGAATACCATTGAAAGACATTTAAGGAAATAAGAGCATAGATATATACTTATTCCTTAAACGTTAGCAGTGATACAACGTAGCTCTGGTTACCTCGACTTCCTTTCTTTTAGCGCATGTCATGTGATCAAGAATTGACCAATGAGGTTGCAAGAACCTTAGTAGGCGTTGTATAATACCTTATATCCAGGGGGAAGGGGAATAATTCAAACGACCCTCTTTGGGGGTCATATTATCCTCTTTGGATCACATGCTCTATAAATGATCTTGAATCCCTCCTCAACTCTTTTTCAAATGATCAAGCCAGCCTACCCAGAGTTGTCCTTTTACACATCTGCAGAAAACAGTGTTTGTTTGCATAATTGTAGCCATCGATCATTGCTGCCAAGCTGCCCTCAATGTTTTGTTCTGTCCTCCCACCATTTTTAGCCGTTTAATCATGTCACTGGGTAATTAGTTAGGTACACACTTGGCTCCAACAGGGAAAGTGTTGCCTTTTATAAAACATGGATTGAAACTTAAAAGAATGATGCCGACCGATTTTTTAATGAAATGTATTTATAAAAATGTCTATATAGATATAAAATTTGGGGTCACAGTGTCCTGTTTGGATCACATGCTTTATAAATGCTCTTTATCCTAACTCAACTCTTTCAGATCAGCGAGCTACTCGACCAAGAGTTGGTTTTACAAGGACGTAGGAGCTTGTTGGAGGTTTGTATGCATAACCTATAACCGTTGAACACTGTTGCCAAGTCCATGTATTCTTTTATGCTAAAGAAGATTTAATATTACTTCCCATGTCCGAACTAAGGCATATTAAAGCTAAAACACGTCCAAAGAAAACCAATATTTGATTTGAATTTATATTCAATGCTTTGTACTATCTTTCCCCATTGTTAAATCCTCATGTATAGGGTATTGCCAACATTGGATGAAAGCATGTTGTGTATGCTTTATTCAATATGTGTACCAATTTTCATCTTCATATTGCTTACCATAACCGAGATCTTTGTGTCAATCAGTGTGTTTCCATTAGTTATACTGAATTCATCTGGTTGAAGAAAATAGTCTACAATTGGCAGGGAAGGGCAGTTTCTATCTACGTGCATTATCCTGAAAAATACTCTGCTCTGATTTCACGGCCGTGAATAAAAGTTCATCAAACTTTGGCTAAGGTCACTGCAAAGTATTGAATGACTGCTAGGTCAACCTGGGATTGTAGTGTTGCGTGCATCGATGTAAAATATTCCGATCACATGATCACTCTGATTTCCGGTTTCTCTCTGCTATGTGCACTCAACCGGAATGAGGTCATTTTCTACTTACGTTATCTGGTTAGCTTCCCCTGCAATATCCTTCTTGCCCGTGAACGCGACACAGCTCTCACGGCGGAGCAAGTCAGTTTCTATAGGGCAAAATTCATCCCTTATCGGCCATTAACCGGATAGTGGCTTTTAATAGAAATGCGCTAAATGTCAATGCCCCCCCCCCCCCCCCCCCCTCTACCTTGCAGCACTTTCAGATTTCAGTTATATATTTCCTACTGTTATGTCAGTGTCGTACTATGTCACTTGATAACACTCAAAGCTCTTTAGTATTTTGTAGAGTTTGTTACAATACTCTCATTTGCTTTATTCAATAAATCTTGTATAATGGGTAGATCAGGGCCTGTTTCATGGTGTTTTACAACTTGCAACTGTTCAGTAGATATGCCTATGCTCTACAAAGCGTATCGGCGATGATGTTGTCCATTTCTTTAATATGAGTCACTCTTAGTCCATAAGGCTGGAGGAACAAGCTCCAACAAAACAGTCTCTGATTCTTGTTCCTGTATCGAAATGAAAAATAAGGCTACCAAGCTTATGAATTACATTTTGTGAATGTATAACTCACATTTTAATATAACTAAGTCTATGCTTTAATATATTTTCAGTCGATGGAGGAAAAGGGAGGAAAGAGGTCTGATGATACAACTGCAAAACGGGTTTGTGGGCTTGAGATTTTCAATTCCATTTTTTACTTTGGGTCCAAGTTTATACCCAACATGACCTTTTACTATGTGAACAGGCAAGGTATTTCATTGCCGTAAGTATGTTAAAAGAAATACCTATCACCTTCAATTAATTAGCTTTTAAAGTTACACAATAAAAAGGCAACAAGCTTGTGTAATCTGCCTTGTCATAGAAAACAGTCTTCCTTATTGAAAGCAATGATCTCTTTTGGTACTCAGATACCAGACGCAATGCTTTGATATATGATTATATTGGAGTAACTCATTTTTCTAAATATTTGTTCTTCTGCTGGTTTATATATTCCAAAATACAAATTTTCAATACCTTTAAAGATACTATGTCCCTTTTGTCCCTTTTGCAACCAACCTCAAAATCTGTAGAACTTTGCAGGAATTATGAATATGTCATGTATGTCCTATCTGTGAACTTTAAAATTTAGCAGTGTCCTAATATTCAAATTATGCAAGGAAACCTGTTTACTTGCTAGACTTCACTGTCAGACACTATTGAGTGACTGACTAGCTTTTTTTCTTCTTTGGTAAAAAACATACTTATAATGAGCTATAAAGGGTACATGAGCATTTGTCTACATCAATAACCCACTTCTTGTAATGGCCAAAATTTAACTGATTAAATCTTTGCGCAGCATAAAACGTACGACCATTCGGTACAATGGTCTGAAAATCAAGACTATTACTTACTGGCTCTATAGCTCCTAAGTCGATTCAACAACTAATAGTCGTTATTTTCCCACTTAAAGACATTTTCAAGCCCCTCTTTTTCAGGGAAGATCTAAATTAGTATTATCTTATCTTTCAAATGCTGTTGGAATTTAATCATTTAATTTTTTTGGCCTGCATAAGGAACATAGTATACAAATAATGAATGGTCATGAGTGCAATTGTACAAGGTTTTGCACGACGTGAAAGATAAGAGACGCTATATTCAACGAGGCGCAGCCGAGTTGAATGGAGCGTCTTATCTTTCACCGAATGCAAAATATTGTTCCATAGCACGAATAAAGACCATTCACTCTTTGTTTTATACAACACCTCGGACGTTAATGGGCTTAAAACAGTTTTCCTAGGCCTAAATCTCAGCGGTTTTTGTATGTTTTCAATTTATGAAATTGCTGATAGTGAGCGCGCACTATTAAGCAGGCAGCAAACCACGCGGGTACAAACCTTTATGTTTACCGGTGCTCCCAGTAAATTTTGATGAATTTCAAATAGCGCCTACGGCCGTACAATGGTAGCTGCGACCATGAAAATCTCAGGATATGTAGTTGTGATATATATTTTCCAAACGGGAATAGGCATTCGGTTGATTTCAGTCAAGAAATATTGTTTTGTAGTTTCATTAATAGCTTGACTTTGAGAGGGAGCTATACAACATAAAGAGTTTATTATTGACAATTTCATAACTTTAGACTCGAATTCAACCGCGACAATGATCAATGAATATTTTCGGATAGCATATGCTTCCAATAGTGTTCATTTGAACCAAATTCATGATTAGTTACAGCCAGCCTTACTTTATTCTACATATATTCTTTTTTTGTGTGTAAATTTGCAATGTTTGTTTGTTATATATTCGTAAAAATGCAAAAGAAAAAGATCATAATCAAAATCAAATCAAAATGAAACATATCCAGAACAGAATCGTTGGTGAAAAATATATAATATTAGATCTATGACTTGTAGTGAGCAGAGGGCCAAAGTCAGATAAGAGGAGATTGCCTATCACTACCTCACAAACTAAGCACACCTTGTTTATTTGAAAGATTTTATCATGATAAACATAAAATTGCATAGGTTTAAAAAAGAAAATTGATTTGTTTCTGATTGCTTTGTTTCCTTCCTTCACAAGCTTTAGTCATTTTTATCACATAAAAGGGTATTAGAGTATAACCAAAATTTGAATGAAATATTTTATCTAAAATCTCTTGGCTTTGTTCTTGGAAGAAAAGCAGGATTAATTGTACGACCTTTCAATTTGGAAAAGCATCTAAAAATATCCATACCCATTTACATACCTGCCAACCACTCCGATTTAGGCGGAGTTACTCCGCTTTTTTCATACCCACTCCGAATTCCGATTGCATGCCTCAAAACTCCGATTTTTTTTAATTTTAAAATATTTTTAAAACAAACGACTGTTGCATAAGACTTAAGCATAACACAGCATTGATAACCAGATCACGCCTTACCATCGAAATCCAAGTAAGTAGAAGGATTTTTCGAGACCGCTGAATTGCACCGCCGTGCGCCATCTTGGATAGAACTAGCGTTGTGAAAGCGAACTGCGACTACGTGCTATGTGTATGCTCAACTTTCGTCTGCAAAATGCCATATTGTGCAGCTTTCAACTGCACCAATCGCCTTAAAAGAGGCTCTGGAGTAACCTTTCATAGTTAAGTGATCACTTCATTAAAAACATGGCAAAAATAAACAGTTTTGCATGATAATCCGAACGCAGAAAGCCACAGACTAAAGCGTGTATTTGTACATCGGTCCCATCTATTCATTTCCATGTTTGTGAACTGTTTTCGCTCGAGCTCAATGACATCGGCTATGAACTATCTAAAATATTGAATTCCACAGAGCTGCAAAGTATTATAAACCGATAATATCGAATACATGATATCCAGAGAATACTGTACTGTTTTGTGTTTTGTGTTTTTTTTTCGTGTGTTTTTTTTTTTTGGGGGGGGGGGGGAATCATTGGGGCATAAGCAGCAGGTCACTTTCTTTGTTTGACTTGTTGAAACTTGGTTCAAGTTACTTTGAAGATTATCTTGAACTTATGAACATGTTGCATCGCGGCGCTGGTATTAATAGTGACACAATTTCCCGTGAGTCGTCAGACTTTCAAGCATTATTGTAAGAAATTTACTGGAATTTACTCAAAATTTACACCTTAATTTTGGACATTTAAATTGTTGTAAAACACAAGAAATTTTACTCATCAAAGTTGGTCATTGTGAAAGTCAGGCGCGGATCCAGGATTTCTTAGGGGGGGGGCCCAAATTTGAAATTATGCGAGCCAAATATTGGTACGTTATGGTGACCAACAGTGACGTAATGCGGGGGGGGGGGGGCGAGTTTCCCCCTCCCAGGCTTTGACGTTTCATTATATTATTAGAGAAAGAAGACGATTCGTTGTACCGTTCTCGAAAATAATTCTCGTCTGAATTTAGTTTTTCTCCTCCCGCGCGAAGCGCGGAAAATTTTACGATTTATTAAATTATTAAAGAAAGAAGACGATTCGTTGTACAGTTCTCGACTCTTAATCCTTGTCTAAATTCAGCCCCCCCTCCCCCTCCTGCGCGAAGCGCGGAAGCTTTGACGTTTTATTAAACTATTAAAGGAAGAAGACGATTCGTTGTACCGTTCTCGAAAATAATTCTCGTTTGAATTTAGTTTCCCCCCTCTCGTGCGAAGCGCGGAAGCTTTTACGTTTCATTAAATCATTAGATAAAGAAGACGATTCGTTGTACTGTTCTCGACTCCTAATCCTTGTCTAAATTCAGCCCCTCCCCTCCCTCCCCTCCTGCGCGAAGCGCGGAAGCTTTGACGTTTTATTAAACTATTAAAGAAAGAAGACGATTCGTTGTACCGTTCTCGACCCTTTATCCTCGTCTGATTTCAGTTCCCCCCCCCCTCCCGCGCGAAGCGCGGAAGCTTTTAATCTTCATTTAATCATTAGAGAAGAAGACGA